TCAGTTTAGTACAATTTTAACTTGTTTTTCAATAGACAAAAACCAAAATTGCGATGTTTATTGTATGAAAATGCTTAAATCGACCAGTAAATAAGATTGTTTCCATTTTCACGGTGAATATTGATGTTTTTGGAGGTTATTTTCTTACAAAATCTAGCTTTAATTTGTCACATAACCTAGAAAATTACTTTGATGAATTGAATTAAAAGAAATTCAAGTTTTTATCAAAAAATGAATCAATTTGTCTATAAACGGCTTTTTAAAAAATAGATATATCGAAACACTCCCACTTAAGTACTTCTGTTGAGCTGTACACCACTTTCGACCACAATATCTCCCCCTTGTAAAATTCCTCATAAATTCTGCTTCAGCTTTTTTGCCAGTTGATAAATTGCAAATAAACCTACAATTCATAGTAATTTTGCCATAATTTCCCATTAAGATATTATGCAAACCAAACCTTTACTTAAAGTAGAACAAATGCTAATCCATTGTAATAATTGAGAAAGCTTTTAACCTGATGTAATAATATCTCTCACAGAGACTATTAAGTCTCACTCTACTCGAGTCTCTGCGGTTAATTTCCACTGGGACTGATTTTACACCATATAATCAACAATCATTGACTGCAAAGGAAGCGAATGGCACTCAAATGCGACCCTATTTGGACAGAGATAAGGGATTAAGAGATGGAGTTTATTCACCAGAAACTTTCCCCCCCAATTGTGCCAAACAGAACGGAAGTGGCCATCAGGATAATACTGCGGAGATTTACTCTTCACACTTTCACACCATAAAACATTCGCATATAATGTGCATTTTTTATCACATTCAACAAAGAGAGTCGTGAAATGAAGTTAAAAGAGCTCTTTTTTTCTTCGCTCACTTCCAAATCGACGGGTGAAGAGGAAACTATGCGAAGCTCTTGAATTTACAGATCAATTTTCATTAAAATGAGGAATGTTAAATGGACGATCAACTGTTTGGACGAATTGAGATCGCGGCTTGGTCTTGACACAAGACACGTGGCGTCACAGAATGTCAATCTTTCCAAATCGACGGGTGAATGGAAAACTATGAAAAGTCGATTTATCATAGTTTTCGTCTTATGTATTTTTGAAAAGCCTTTTATTTGTTCTTTCTGTACAAGAATTTTAAGATTTGTATCTTATGAGACAATAGAAAAAAATCTTATTTATCTAAAAAGCACAAATGGAAAAAATTGTCATGTTTTGCGAATGAAAAGTCGAATTTTCATTGTTTACGCTGAACAATTTTTCCCCAAGAAAAATGTCTCAAAAATTGCAGTCAAATGCATAAAAACGTCTTTTTAGAAAATATTTGTAGATTTTCAGAATTATCCTAAAATGTTTTTCTGGACTTTAAATGAATATTTCTCATATCTTTTAAATTTTTTCACTTGAAAACATTAAGAAAAAGTTCAATTGAAGTATGAAAAGTTGATTTTTTGTATAAAATCGACTCAAAAACCATTAAAAATCGACTTTGAAAAGTAATATTTTCAGATTTTCTATTAATTTTGCCACATTTTAGTGAAAAATTTCAATAAATACCAATAAAACATTTACAAAATAAAAAATACAGAGCAATATTTTCACTTTAACGAACGATTTGAAGGCATTTTGAGTATTTTGAAGTAAATTTGGCAAATTTCGCACTTGTTTTAATGCAAAATTTTGAACTCGCTTTGCTGAAAAATGGCGATTTTGACTTTTGATAGTTTTCGAGGCACCCGTCGAAATGATAAAACCCAAAAGTGCTCTCAAGTATGATTTATGATTAAAAAATAATCTCTTCATCGTGTGCACAATTAATCAAATGAGAAAGTATTCAATGGGAGAAAATCGATTTTTTCCACTGTATTTCAAAGCTTCATCACTTGCAGTAAACTTATACATAGTTGTATTATATATAGCGATGCAATATGGATTAAGTGTGCAATTTGAGCTCTCAAGTGAGATCCTCCTTCACTAATTATCCCCTCTTCTCGTCATTATTATGCCAAAGCACGCCTCATATTTATCATGGAAGCGAGGCAAAGCCAGCAATATGTACACATAGTCCTGGAAACCACTTCAAAGTTCATGCAGAGAGCTTTTGGTGGCGAAAAAAAGGGGGAGAGAGAAGATGAAATACAGCCAGAGAGAGAGAGAGAGCTTAGCACAGTTGTTGTCCTTTATTGGTTGCAATTTTCACATCTCTTGATCGCTTGAAATTTAATTTGCCAAATGGAAACAATTCAACACAGCTTATCTCTTAATTTTTTCGTTTCTTTTCATTCCACCCTCACTGTAAGCATTTTCTCGCAAATGTAGAGCTTCGTTGCCTTCATTCTTTCACTCTCTCTGTGTGACTTTGCAACTGAATTATTTACACTTTCATCCCCAACTCCTGAAAATTCATGGCTAGAAAGTGTGACAATATATACAGTTGCTGCCAATGAAATAAAGTCTTTAGGTAGAAGTTTTCTGATCACTTTTGAGCTTAATTTTGAGCTTTTTTCCCGTGATTTTCAACACTTTTATCCAATTTATCAACTGCATTGAACTGCAATTGAATTATTAAGCACGAATTTTAAATTTTCCAGTTGTCTTTCAATGACAATTTGAGCTTTTACCCTTGCCAAAGGGGGAGATAGTAAGCCTTCAATCTGTACACCACCTTTCAAACACTTCTAGAATTCGAAGTTTTTAGACTCTCTTAAGTTTTCATCCAATATTTCTGCAAGAATCCACTTAAAGTCACCTTTTTGGACATCTTTTCCTATCATAACCTCAAAAATATAACTAAAAGATCTTCAAAAAGTCCGTTTCGACGCTTTCTATATCACAAGATCATTTGAATATATGCTTTTTCAATGAACTAAGTTTAGAAAGTTTTCTAAATAACCATTTTTCAGCTCCAAATGACTATATTTTTGAGGTTATGTTCGAGTTTCATACAATTTGCGCGTGATTCTTGGCATCAAAGGTTGCAAAATCTTAATTCTGCCAATCTCTATGACTTAATCATAAGAATTGATGTGTTAGAATGTGAATTATTCACTAAATCTGTCCCTGATTCGTTACATAACCTAGAAAAAATATTTTTATGATTGATTTTGCGTCAAAATCGAAGGAAACTCAAAGAATTCGGAAGATTAGGCAGTAAAATAAACACACAGGAAAACAATATTGTAAGTTTTTCAACACTTCCACTTCCTAATAACTCCCGCTGAGCTGTACACCACTTCTGACTGTATTATCTCCCCCTTGATCATTGCTAATTATAATTTTTCCAATAATATTGGACCAAAAGCATGATAAATTGATAAATTCTCAAGCTTTGAGACTCAATTCAGATGATTTCCAGTCATAAAATGTAATTTTGAGGTTATTTTTGGGTGAGAAATGAACAATTCTGAGCTTCAAAAGTGTTTTAAATCAGCAATTTGAGCTTAAAATATCACATTTTGATTTGAATTTGCATCAATACAAAGTCTCAAACTAAAAACCGCCACGAAAGGTGCATTATTTAATCCGCAGCCACTGTTTATACCCTCAATATGTGTGAGAACGAGGATTGAGAGCTTCAAGGAGCATCTCTTCACACTGTACGACAACGACGACGACAATGATAATGAGTTGCAGTGACATAAAAGCCCCTCTTTAGAGGGTTAATATAGTAACAAATGCACTTCAATCTCTTCATGTTCTCATGAAAAATGTAACACAGAAGAAAGAAAGAAGAAAAAAAAACCACCAAAAACTTGTTGCCGAGATTGAGAGAAACTTGATGTTTTTAATTAGAGCAACATAAACATCCCTTTTTATCCTTATCGACACACACACACAGAAACTCTCGTGCACGACAAACCACAAAGTCATCAGTCGCTGGGAAATTTATTCTCACTACACACTTCATGAACACCTTTTGAATTTTTCCCTTTGCGTGAGGAGCTTTTGCTTGAACACATGCAAAAATTGGAAACTTCACAGCGTGTGTGTGAACATGCAAAAGGGTTGAAAAACTTTCTCATGTCATTTTCATTTTAATCACAAAACCCACCACCCCCTTTTGGGCGCTTCATTATATATTATGTTGTGTAACTATCTTCCACCCCAAAAGAGCTTTTCTCTATATCGACGGGTGCCTCGAAAACTATAAAAAGTAAAAATTGCCATTTTTCAGCAAAGCGAGTGAAAAATTTTGCATTAAAACAGCTGCGAAATTTGCCAAATTTACTTCAAAATACTCAAAATGCCTTCAAATCGTTCGTTAAAGTGAAAATATTGCTCTGTATTTTTTATTTTGTAAATGTTTTATTGGTATTTATTGAAATTTTTCACTAAAATGTGGCAAAATTAATAGAAAATCTGAAAATATTACTTTTCAAAGTCGATTTTTAATGGTTTTTGAGTCGATTTTATACAAAAAATCAACTTTTCATACTTTACTTGAACTTTTTCTTAATGTTTTCAAGTGAAAAAATTTAAAAGATATGAGAAATATTCATTTAAAGTCCAGAAAAATATTTTAGGATAATTCTGAAAATCTACAAATATTTTCTAAAAAGACGTTTTTAATGCATTTGACTGCAATTTTTGAGACATTTTTCTTGGGGGCAAATTGTTCAACGTAAACAATGAAAATTCGACTTTTCATTCGCAAAACATGACAATTTTTTTCCATTTGTGCTTTTTAGATAAATAAGATTTTTTTCTATTGTCTCATAAAATACAAATCTTAAAATTCTTGTACAGAAAGAACAAATAAAAGGCTTTTCAAAAATACATAAGACGAAAACTATGATAAATCGACTTTTCATAGTTTTCCATTCACCCGTCGATATAGCATAATCTCGCGCCCAATTTGCATTCCTTCACAATAAATCCATCCTGGGCGGAATTCAATTAACTCTCTCTCACTCTCTTCCTTTCGCCCAGGATGATACAGAGTGATAAAGGAGACAAAGTTGCACATGAATTAACAAAACTCACCTTTGCTCTGGAGCTGAAGACGATTGGCGTCAGTCTTAAGTGTCTCTGCAGTGTGAACCAATTCATCCAGTTGAGGTTTCTTGAACTCCAATTCTCGCAACACATTCTGCACATGAAGAAGAAACATGGAAGATTTAATTGATTTTCTCTCCGTTTTGGGGCTCAAAATTCAACATCATATCATAAATATGATACGTGAAAATACATTAAACAGCCAAAAGCCATCTCTTGCAAAATTATCATATCCATTAGAGACAAGTCACGTGAGGTTTTTCCCTCGATAAACATTCCTCTCGCATTATCATATTTCAATAGATGGCCTGGAAAAATATTTTCCCAGCTCCTCTGCTTCTTCTTCTTCGTCGTCATTCGCCCAAAGACAATATAGAGACATTTTGCCGATCGAATTTCTGTCACACATTTCGCTTCTCTCTTTCGCATCTCATGGGAATTTTGTTGTGTGACAACAAAAAATAGACAGAGAAAATAGCATTATTATCAAAAATTCAGCGAAAAAGAATAAAAATTCCCAAACATGATGGAGAGAAGAAAAAAAAAATGTTTTATTCAATTTTTTCTTCTTCCTTGTGCCGAAGAAGACAAGATTGTAAATACCTTAATGTCAAATCAAGTTAGAGAATCTTTCCAGTGAATCACAAGGAAAATGCCATATTAATCTCGACATTTCAGAAAATATCTTCTGTCTTATCTGTCCCTTTATATTGTGATTGCCATTCCATCCCAGAGAATATTTATAATTCATTCCGCCCCTCCGCAAAAGGAGCTTTTCTCTTCTATGAGGATAATAATAAGGCTCTGAATTTATTGACTGGCTTCATTAGACTAAAATTGACTTCGTCATTCAACTTTACACGCAAAAATGCTGGTAATAATAATCGGCTTAAGAGATTTTCCATTCATCCATAGACAATAAGATGTCAATTTAATAAATTTTATTGTGGAATTTTATCTTGTTTTCTTCATTTTATTTTTTCAAAATCATAATTGATTGTTTACGAAGTTTGCAAAGACAGCAAATGCGGAATTTTGTGAAACGTCAATATCTTATAATACAAATTTGACATTTTATCTTACAAGATATGAATAAAGACGTCTATGTAAGACCTTGTTGCAATTTATCTTCTGAAAAGTTCTGAAATGTTTCAAACGTTGCCGTCTGACGTCAATTGACCAGAAAAGCCGGAAAATTCACATGAAAATCAAGATATCTTCGTAATGCATTCGTACATTGTACTAACGCCGCCTGGTGACCACAAATATAAGCTATGAAAACGTAAAATTGCAACGAGGCGAAAAATAAAAGATTTCGTATTTCGATTTGTAAGAGTTACGAATTGTCTATGCAATTCAATGCATTTAATAATTTATATTGACTTTGACAGCTTATTTAATATGTCAGGAAAATAAACTAGCAACGACCTCTTAATTTGAATTTTGCTGAATTTTGAACTCAATTAATATTCATTATATGAATTTATAAATCGACGGGTGAATGGAAAACTATGAAAAGTCGATTTATCATAGTTTTCGTCTTATGTATTTTTGAAAAGCCTTTTATTTGTTCTTTCTGTACAAGAATTTTAAGATTTGTATCTTATGAGACAATAGAAAAAAATCTTATTTATCTAAAAAGCACAAATGGAAAAAAAATTGTCATGTTTTGCGAATGAAAAGTCGAATTTTCATTGTTTACGCTGAACAATTTTTCCAAGAAAAATGTCTCAAAAATTGCAGTCAAATGCATAAAACGTCTTTTTAGAAAATATTTGTAGATTTTCAGAATTATCCTAAAATGTTTTTTTGGACTTTAAATGAATATTTCTCATATCTTTTAAATTTTTTCACTTGAAAACATTAAGAAAATGGTTCAATTGAAGTATGAAAAGTTGATTTTTTAGAACTATTTTCGATAAAATCAACTCGAAGACTAATAAAAAGCGACTTTGAAAAATTAAAATTTTCAGATTTTTCATTAATTTCACCATATTTTAGTCAAAAATTCCAATAAATACTGATAAAATCATCTAAAATATTTACAAAATCATAAATTCAGAGCAATATTTACACTTTAACGGACGATTTGAAGGCGTTTTGAGATAAATTTGGCAAATTTTGCAGCGATATTGAAGCGAAATCTTGAACTCGCTCTGCTGAAAAATTGTGTTTTTGGCTTTTCATAGTTTTTTATTCACCCGTCGAAATCTACAACAGAAAAATCCCCAAAAATTCTGACAGCTTTAAAACCTTTAAGCAAACAATTCACTCCATTGAATATTTTTCCTCCCTCAGGCCAATAATATATTGATTTGCCAATCGGAAAAGTACAGCATTTCACCCCAAATCACGTACATTTCACAACCTACAACCCTGTGACCCTTTTAAACTCTAAAATCCACACTATCGAGAAACCACATGATTAGACCAAACAAAATTTATTATCACTGCACGCACGCATTTTATCGCCACCCGCAGAGAATTTGTTGTGTGCCAAGCGGCGAAAAAGAAGGGGTGAGAGAGCGTCTCGCCCACTCTCTCTCTCTCGCTCTGCCCAGCCATCTAATCATCATTTTTCGCGCGCCGCACACACGAAGGGGTGGGAATGTGTTTGGGGGTTGTTTTTGCCCACATTCACAACACCCGCCGCCCAAGCGTGTGTTTGCAGGGGGTGGAAAAAAAAAGCGCCACCGACGACCAAAACCTCTAATTCGCTCGAGCCGCCGCCGATGGTTTAGCAAAAGACCACCCCAAAGCATGTTGAACAATAACACACTGTGCACAGTGGCATTTATCAAAGACGTGTAAGGTATGTGGGGGTGGGGGGTGAGGGTGGAAAAATCAATACGCAGCGCCCCATCAACACACATACACACGGCACTTTCCCTTGTCGCCTTGTTAAAATCTTAGTCCGTTTTTCACGCCCAAAAGACATTCACGTGCCAAAAACTCACCCCCGCCCTTTGCGAAGGGATGTTCTTGAGAAGACACCTTTTAGCCCACATACATATGTATGTTATGTATATATAGTGAGCAATTTGGCACAAAAGTATTCACGGCAATTGCCAGTCATTCAAATAAATCACACGTTAATTGCTGATTAAATTTTCATCTCATAATATTATTCGATATATTTTTAATGGCAATAAATTAATTTCTTCAGCACTCTTTTGTCGGTTAATTGCGAAATTTTCCCCAAAATGACTCTTCATCATGTTCTCCAGCATATGTGTGTGAGAGAGAGAGAGAGAGCTTTTCCCGCCAAAAGCATATCAATACAAGCACCTTCAAAAGTTTTCAGAGAAGAAATTCACCACGGAAAGGAACTTTTTAGCCGGTCGAAAACAGAGAAAACACCAAATGTGTCTCGACTTTCGTTCTGTGAGTGGTGAAAAGTCTCTCTCTCTCTCGCTCTCTCTCTCTCTTGCTCGCATGCTAAATCACATTCACTCACCTTTTGCTTGTCAATGGCCATGAGAATTGCATCGATGTCGCCAACAAAGACACTCTGGCCCTTCAGCATGTCTCGCTCGAGGCTCAGCCAGTCGGAGATCTGAAGGATGGACTTGTCAAAGCTCGCGGACAGAGAAGCTCCAGTCCCGAGAGCTTTTGCCCTCGCCTTGGCGGTGAACGAGCCAGGAATGTAAGGCTCCGAAGAGTCTGCAAAAGACAAGAAGCGCACCATGAAATTTCACGCCGTTTATAGAAATTCCTGCGGAATAGCAATTCAAGGTTGTCAGAGACACAAAATACCTCTGTCATGATCATTTCTTGGCATAATTCAAACACATATTTCCCACCCACAAACCCCCAAAGCGAAACATGTGTCAAGTCATTGTGAGCTGGCCTTAAGAGATTTTCACACTCCTCCAGACGCTTCGCCAGAGAGACACGCAAAGATTTCTTCTGGTCATTTTATATCCACCTCAACAGGGATTATCACACTTTCCTCCCTCCTTCCTTCTCACCCTCGTGCGCACGTGGATTAATCTCACTTTTCCACCCCCCCCCCCCCCCACGCAAAGACACATGATCGAAATGTGAATTTGCAGCTTCAGACAAAAAGAACTTTCTCGTCACGAAGATATGAAATTCATTATAATGAACGGAAATCCGCAGGAAATTCTGAAGTCTGTGTCGCCAGAGGGCGAATTTGTTGGCAAAAAATTTAATCTGCGGAAGCTCAATAAACCCATTTTATGCGATATTAAGCTTTCAGGCAAAAATACGCAATATTAATATTATTTTTAGCATTATTAGCAGGCAAAGGAGGAATTATCCTCGTCAATAATTAACACTAATTTTTATCATCAAACGTTCAATTAATCCAAACAGAGAGAGAAATTTTGGAACAAGAATTAAATCAGATGAAAAAAAAAACTATAAAACATTGAATTAAAAAAATTCAAATTTTTACAATTTCTGAGGTTTTTTTTTCTTTTTAAGAAAAAGAAGGACTAAAATTCAGAATAATTTGAGTTAATTTTGGTATATTTTACAATTGTTTTTAGAATATTTCGGAACTGATATTAAAAAAAAAATATTTCAAATGTTTTTCCTTAAGATATTTTTAATAAAAAAAAATATTTGAGAATTTTAAAATCAATTTCTTGCTAAAATCAACCTAAAATATTATTTAACCTTTCTAATTCGTTAAAAAAAAGCGCAAATATTTTTAAAATCAATCTTTGACAAGTTCCGAGTTGTCCCAAGAAAAGGGCGGCTGTGGCTCAATAGTCAACGTGTTTGACTCTCGATGCTACAGTCGTGTGTTCAAATCCCACCGCTTGCAAATGTTTGAACACAGCAGAGTGCAAAAATAAGCCTTTCCAGCTGGAACATACGCTTCACTGGAGTTGGTCTTGCGCTCTGTCCCTGTATATACAAAAAAAGGTGGAAGCGGCCTTTTAACACAGTCAATAGCGCTTTCGCTTAATGACACAGAGGTCCCGGGTTCAATCCTCACCTTCTGAATGCTGTGAGCGATTGACTCGGCAAGGGAAATAAAAAGACATTTTTAATGCCAACAGACGAAACTGACTGTTGATTTCCAACTTGAGGTTTGTAAAACTTCAATGGAAATGTTTCCCTTGGCCAGAAAAAAAGGAATATAAGGAAAGCATTCATTCATGTGTTGGGAATTATTTGGTCAATTGACACCCGCAAAACGCTATAAATCGATTTGGCCATGGACAAAGATATAACAAATGGATAAATACTTGGAAATATCAAGGAAAGAACTGGATTGTTATGGGGGGAAGCAATTTTCTGGGGTAATCATAGGCTGCATCGGATAAAGAGCCTCACGGACAAGTCCATCAGCAAGACAATGCCGCCAGCAAATCAGCAACAACCCACAAACTAATAAAGATGACACATGCATCTGCCCAGCCGGATTGGACATCCAGATTGAGGACCATTCCATTCATGGCGACCACGGCGAGCACAGGAAAAACGCATCACAACGTTCGGAACACACACGAAAATCGTTCTGCAGAGCTTGAAGACGATAAAAGGCCACCAACCAAAGATCTCCACGCTCCCGAACTTAGAAATTAAGGAATAAAATTGTATCTAATTGTATCTGTCCCAAGAAAAAAATCACTGCATCAAAAACAACCCCTAAATTTCTTTCTGCACAGAAACAGTCAGAATTATTAAAAAAAAAATAGTCTGAAAATGAAGATTTGTAGCTAAATAGACAAATATTCCACTGAAAACATTTCTATAAAAACCATCATTTGAAGGTTTAAGAGCTGCACAGAGTAGAAAAATTGATGGTAATCCAGAAGAATAAGGTCAGTTGATGAACCATATATTTCTCCCTTGGACTTTCCCCGCTGAGAAGTCCGCAGACTGGCAAAAAAAAGCCACCCTTTAATCCCAGCATCTGCAGCTGAAAATATGTATTGTCATGTCACTGACCTCAGAAGCCGGATGTTTTGGATATTCTATTTCAAGGCTCAGCTCCAAAAAAATCCGTCTCACAACATTCATCAAGGCGCGTCTATTTTTATGTGTGCCATTCATGAAAAAAAGCCGCCACCAAGGGGCAAATCACAAGGCAATTTTTGAGGACACTTAATTTTTCTCTAATCAAATAATTAATTATTTGAGTAAAATAATCAAAAAATGATTATTTTCCCAAGTAGAATTGAAAAAAAAATTGAAAAATAATCAAATTATGATTTAAATAATAAAAAAAGATTATTTTCTCAACTAAAATTGAAAAAAAAATCTAATTTTGAATGCATAATCAAAGAAAAGATTATTTTCCCGAGAAAAATCACAAAAAAAACAAAATAACCAAATTCTGAATTAAATAATTAGAAACAAATGAATATTTTCTCAAGTGTATTTTCAAAAATAATCATATTTTGAATAAAATAATCAAAAAAAACAAACAAATCCTAAGTAAAATTATATAAAAATCTCAATAATGAAATTCTGAAATAAATGATGAATAAAAATAAATTATTTTCAATCAATTAATCAGAATATTTAAAATTTGATTTAATATTCTGGAAAATAATAAAAAAAATAATCAGAATTTGTATGAAATACAGAATTTTTAATCAAATATTCAGAAAATTATCAGAATTTTCTACGAAATAATCAAAATTTGAGTAATAATCACAAATAATCGAAAAAAAGATTGAATAATCAGCAAGTTAATGGTCTCAACTTGCGAGTGATCTTCCCCTTGGCCGCCACTCTTCGATTCTCTCTCTCACCTGATCAAATTCCACAGAGAAAAAGAGTGAAATGGGAAATTGATGAAGCCAGTGGAAAAAAAATTAACAACACACGCAAAATAGACAGATTTTTTGATCAGAAAATGAAAGAGGGAAATTTTTGATTGACTATTTTTGGCGGGTGAAAAAAAAATGTCCATTTCGATGGAAATTGTTTGAAATAAAATTGAAAAATAACATATCACATTCATTCACCAGCCAGAAACTCAATTGAAACCCCACAAATTTTTGCCCCAACACACAATTTTGCATTGTGTCAATGGGAGAAAATACACATCATAGCTTAAACATGAAGTTTTCTCTCTCTCTCTAAAGAAAACCACTCGCGAAAAGGACCTTTTTTTTCAACCTCTGCCAAATGTAAAGGAAGAAAGGACAGAGGAAAAAAAAATGCCAGTAGAAATAGAGTGAAAATATGGAAATTCACCCCCGCCGGAAATGTTGAGAACAAACAGAAACACAGCAAATAGAATTTAGAAATAAACACACATATAAATATAAAAGGAGAGGAAGAAGAAGAAAAAAAAAGCGTGGCGAAATTGCTCACGAAATTGAGGCAGCAGAAAAAAAAATGTTGAATAGCGTGATTTTTGGGCGAAAAAGAGCAACAGCAGAAGCAATTGATGGTGGATTCGCTGGGAAAATTATATGAAAGGATAATGGCATTTTACAGCACGACCCAGAATCTTCTCGCCATTGGCTCCATTTCACGCCATTCGAGCCTATTCAGGGTTGTGAGAAGACTCCCTCACACCCTGTCGGCATTTTAATAACGACCAAATGGCATTTCACTTTTTCACACATAACAAACCACGCATAAAAGCTCTTTTTCCCTGACATTTCGGCCCATTCGACAATCCCCCCGTTGATGTTTTATTAAATTAAACCATCTTTGCCTAATGCGCAAGGCGGAAACATCACGACCGGAAGTGGTGTACGACTCAGCGTGAGTCTCAGAGAGTGAAAGTGTTCGCATAGTTTGAGTTTCTCCGGTGTTTTTCTGGTTACAAAATTCAATTTTAAGATTTATAGGCCAAAATAAGTTAGTTTTCTAATAGTTTTCTATTAGTTTTCTTTTTTTGATAATTAATAATTGCTTGAGTCGTTGTAACTTTGCGTATGTCGTATTTCAGTTCGTAAAAGATATGAATTTGTGTTGCAACTTTACACATTTCACAGCTTAAATTAACGATCGTTTGGTGGCGCTAGTGTAAAATACGAATATTAGAGTATTCAAATATTTTTTTTAGTGTTTTTACAAGACATAACCTCAATCTGGTGCATTAAAATGCGGAAAAATGACAAGATAAATCCAATAAATTTATATTAATCAACTCAAAAACATCATTACTGTCAATTTTTTTGATTTTCACGTGTTGTTTCTAACTTTTCTTGCCTTTCCCATAAAATGAATTGCGCACTTTCGTTAATTTTAATAATTTCAATCTTGCAAAGCAGTTTTATGAATTAATATTTCTGACAGCTTATTTAAAATTTAATGAAAGTAAAGTTGCAACGACCAGTCAAAGTTAATTGACAAAATACAAATTTTCCATGTAAATATTTATCTTTTTACGTCTTTCTTCATCGCCAAAAATTCTCTGTAAGAATTCATTGAACAAAATTTAGCTGTTTATGAAAATAATTTAATTTATTATTCGTAAGCAAAGTTTCGACAGTAATTCATCAAGAATTCGCCACCATTCAATGCAATTCAACATTAAGGGTTGAAAAAGATCTCAAAAGTGTCTTTTTAGACGCTAAAAACTTCTCTAAACGTTCAAATTTACATCATTCTGCTCACATTCTCATCCCCTTGGCGGTGGTTTCTTTCCCGCGGCGCACATGAAAAGCCTTCGGGGTTGAAATGGAGGCGACGAAATGGATTTACATTTCTCTCTGGTC